TATATTTTAATCATTATTATCAAATATGTTCCTGTGCAATTAATTTTTAAATGCGTGTATGACTTTTATCCATGTATAAAAGATGGGTTTTACCAAGTACCTCAATTATATATAACAATCAGGAAAAAGTAATTACAACATATTTATTTATTACTTTGTTAAAAAAATAATATTGATCTCCATAATCACCATTATCATCATCTCAACATCACTATTAACATCATCTTATAATTATGATAACAATGATTAAGATAATTATGATAATGGTGGTAATGGTTATAATTATTATTAACCACACACTATGTTGTTGCTGTCGTTGTAGTAGTTGTGTTTTGTCTTTGTCGTGATGACAGTTTTTAGACGCGAAAATCACGTGATTTGTACACTAACATTAATCTATACTTGAAGCCTTACTTAAAACTATTTATAAATGAGTGGAGTATTATGGATCCCTTTATTATTGGTATGAAGTGTGGCCGATGAAGATGATCTTAATGATTCTGCAATTGATGTTGTTCCTGACATCATATATTACGATAATAACAAAAGATTCATATCAAATAATGACGCGTCTTTTACCAAACAAGGCACAGCAAATAAAATTGTTAAAATAATTATTCCCTGAATACATTAAAAAAAAAATTTTGTATTATTTAAATACGTGAGATAATAATCCATGGGTAATTAGGCGCAGAAAATAGTGTAACAAGTTGTCTTTTGGCAAAAAATTCATATCCATCTTCTACCACTTGATGTGCTCTACATATCAAATCCATGTCATGTTTTTGTAAAAATCTACCAACTACATCCTGTCCAAATGTAAATGATACTCCTCTGTCATTTTCGCTCCATCCGGTGGTATCTTTTTCCGGATCTGACCATAATAAATCGCACAGTAAACCTAAAAAAAAAAAGGAATAGAATTAAACGTATTATTATTCAACAGTAACAACAAAAATTCAAATCATCAAGATTATTTATTTAATATACCTGTATCTGGTACGTCTGTAGGTCGCATAACTCTACGAATTTGTTCCATGTTTTGGAGATCGGGAGATAAACCACCGTGCATAGTAAATATCTTTTCATCAATTATTGCAGCAATTGGTAAACAATTAAAACAATCTGTAAATGTTTTCCACAATTTAATATTATATCTTCTTTTACATTCATCATAAAATCCATAAATACGATTAATGCTTGCACATTCGTGATTCCCACGTAGAATAAAAAAGTTTTCTGGATATTTTATTTTATATGCCAATAAAAGACAAATCGTTTCTCATGATTGTTTTCCTCTGTCAACATAATCTCCGAGAAATAGATAATTTGCTTCGGGTGGAAATCCCCCATATTCAAATAACCTTAACAAATCATAATATTGTCCGTGTATATCACCTATATAAAAAATATGATAATAATAAATATGTTTATATGTTAATAAAATAACTTTAATTATAATAATTGTATTAATGATAATATAGCGTACCACAAATCTTTATTGGTGCTTCAAGTTCAAGAAGTATTGGTTGAGAAA